CTTGACATTTGGTTTAATTTACTTTATACATCTTGGTTTACACATGTCAGCCAACAAGCACTGTGTCTCTCATAGTTTATTGCACTACACTACTTACACTACTTGAGCTATGACAGGGAACATTTGTTGTTATAAAATCATGCCATTAACTTCCTCAAAGGATGCTTATGCAAATGAAGCATATAAGTTCCATCATTATTTGAAATGCAAATTAATATTTGGTAACGGTGGCTTTCATTTCGACGGTTCATGATATTTCCTTTCTAGCACCTATATTGCATTATTAAAATCAGAGGGTTGGTAAGGTCCTTAGGTATCATTAATTACTTCTTTGAAAGAGCATCTTCTTGGGCATCTTTAGAAGCTAGAGTCAGTTGACAGAGTGCAACGATCCTCTCAAAAGCATCTCTTAGTTGCTTCATGGAATGAAGTCTGGTGTGCATGCAAACTACTTCATTCATCAATCTCATCTTCAGCATTTTTTAACCAGTGCCACAAGGCCATACAAATAAGTATGTTTTGGTAACTTCTACTTACAACTTGTTGCAGAGGTCTTGACCAAAAGGAATTTTAACCTCATGATCTTTGCTGTTGCTTTTTCTTAAAGCATCTACCTTACAAATATATGGAGTTAAGATGGTATTGCATCTATAATGTTTTTAAACCTACCATGGATACCAAATAATTGTTAAAAACATCACGAACAACCTACCAAAATAATCTAGCATCTTTGGTAATCACACCTGCTGTGCCAACGTCAGTAACATATTTGTCTTCTCATACATAATATTTCAAAGCTGTATATACAAGGCAGAAGATGTCAGCTTCTCACTGTACACACCATTGTTCTTTAGCTCAATTTTCAAATTCTCCCCCTGTATTTAGGATTTGGAAAATTTCTATTGTGCAAGTTTGATACTTACAGCTGACATAAGGTCAATCAACCTTATAGTTTGCTACTCATATGTAAAGTTCTGATCCATCATATGTCCTGATCAATCATATGTTCTGATCCATCATATGTTCTGATCCATCATATGTT